ATTGAGATTAATTGTAGACATATAGGGCAGGAAGGGACCTCAAGAAGTCATCAAGTTCATCCCCCTACGCTATAGCAGGACTAACTAAATCTAGACCATCCCTGACAGGTGTTTGTCCAACATGTTCTTAAAAACCTCCAATGATGAGGATTCCTTGATGTTATCATCATCTAATATCTAATTCCACAATTCCTCCACCACCAATCAGGTCTCTGTCCCTTTTCACTGTTTCTTGTGACTTCTTTCTTTCCCTGTGGCCTTAATCAGAAAAAAGTTAAAGTGGCTTTTTTTTCTTAAAGCCTCTCTCCCTCTGTATGGAGAAGTGAGAGTTTGTATTTGCACTGCAAAATACACTATATTGATACCATTTGTGAATTTCTCCCAAGATACCATGGCGACAGCTTGTCTCTTATAACTAGGACAATGCTGCCGTTTCAATAACAAAACAGAATCCGTCCCTCCAGGGCTGCAGAAAACGAAATAAACCCTTCAGCTGCAAAACAAAGCTGTATTTTGAAAAGCACATTCAGTTCAGCAGTGCAGTGCTTCAAGGGCTCTTCCTTACTATTGGGGTCAAGGAGAAAAAGCACCAGAAACACAAAGGCAGCAACATAATCGGAGTTCTTGCTGTTGGATTGGATCTGATAAAAGGATCAGTGGTATGTGGCAAAGTGATCACCCTTTATCTCTGGAAACCAATGGGGTGGTGTTTCTGTCAAGGCAGAAAATTAATTTAATTGGTTTGCCCATGGAGACTGACAGAACTGAGTTAGTTGTATGAATACTTCAGGGAGAGTACTATACAGCCTTAAAACCACTTGGTGGATGGCTTCATGGGACATCATAACCACCTGTTGTTCTTTGCCATTGATATCGTGGATTTTAAACATCCTTTCCCACTGAGTCATTTTTATGTCAGTGGTTTTCAACCTTTTTTTCATTTGCAGACCCCTAAAAAGTTTCAAATGGAGGTGCTGACCCCTTTGGAAATGTTAGACAGTCTGCGGACCCCCAGGGGACTGTGGACCACAGGTTGAAAACCACTGATCTAGGTCATCTTGTCTTGTGACAGATGAAACATGCAGGGTGGGATATTGCATCGCCAGTAGTGGTCTTCGGATTCCAAGGCTGAACAGCCACTTTACACTCCATTTGTGTGGTTCTAGAAAGGGTGAAATGGGCTTTCTCCTCAACAATAGCATCCAAAAAGTCTGTCATTACCATTTGCCAACAGCATATATGGTAACATACTGTTTAGCCCCCTCCACAAATCCATTTGAAGCACAGCTTTGCCTTATTGGCACAGAATGTGGGCCTTACCCTTGCAGTGGCTGTGGTTTTCCCTGTCTCTCTCCTTCCAGGATGTTCAGGATATTGGATTGTTATACAGAGTTGGAAGAAAACAGTTTTGAAGGTACTTACTTAATCTTAGATTTTCTGCTTCAGGGCTTCGAGACAGCTTTAAGGCAGCCAGGTCTTGCCTTGCTGAGCGAACTTTTCTGAAGGCAGCAGCCCTTCTTTCTGGTGATGAACAGCTGATATTCCTGTTTCTGAAATGCCTGGTCAGTGAGGAAAGGCAGCAGTAATCACCTGGCAGCAGTGAGATAACCGATAGCTGTCTCTCATTCAACATTTAATTAGTAGGGGTTGCCAATTGTCCAAGTCTTTGGGCATTTTTTGGGTGTTTGTTTCGATATTTTTAAACAAAGCTCTTCTGTGGCTCCTGTGCTAAAGAAGTGTGAGACCTGGGAGCTCCTGGCAGGACTCCTTCCTTTTGAGAGGGTTTTAAAACTCTGAAACTAGGAGGAATTCCTAAAGTATTCATAACACATGGCAGCATCCCCTGGCCAAGCTGAGCTGTGCTGATGCTACTTATGGGACTATGAAAACATTTCCCACTAATGGATTAAGCCCAATGAGTCAGAATTAAGAAATTAGTCCCTCTAGAATATTGCTAAACCATAAAACCTGTTAGTAACATGGATGTGTGGAGGGTTGAACATCATTTGGCTAAGAAAGGTCTAAGGGCCTTGTTCTCTTCAATGGAATTGCTCCAGTCTGAAAAGTGATATAGGACAAGCAGTCACTGCTTCATATTTCTAAAACAACTTCATAGCAATAGTCCAGTGCAGGCAAACGAATAAAAGGAAGAGCTGCAACTGCTGCCTTCCAGAGGCCACACTGTAATAGCTGTTCTGTTCTCGGTCAGTAGGATAGATTCTGATTTCACTTATTCGGGTGTAAATGCCAATGAAATCAACAGAATTACACGTATGGTCATTATTATTAATACGATTATTTCTAATGGTGTCCAAAGGAGCTCTAGATGCCTCTCAATACAGATAGAAAACGTGGTCCCTGTACCAAACAGCTAACAAATGTGAGGGACTAGGAGATGACAAGACAGTAGAGGTGGGGACAGGAGTAACTTCAAACAGATTACACAATTACTCAGTGAGGTGTAATACACAGCATGATGGAGCAAGGAAAGTGGGAAATTTATTATAACTATAGTAAATTGATCTCTTTAAACCTGGAGTAACTGAACTCATAATCTGGCCCATTATCTCCAGTTCCACTTGACTGTTTCTCCAGATGCTGTCATCACTACTACACTGGCTGCTGGTTTACTTTCAGATTGCACCAGTGCTATCAGTCTGCATTGAAAGAAATAGTAAACTGCAAGTGCTAGATTTTATTGTGGATTGTTTATGAAAGTGTGTGGCTTGGAATTTATAAAGAATGGAGTTTAGTCTTTCACAAACCCCACCCGTCTTGTTTGAACAATACAATAACTGACCTAATAGCATCACCTGCCTGGGGAAAAAAAAAGATTCTTTGAAATAGCCAGAGACCCTAAAACATGGAGCAGGTGGGATTAAGGCTGCAGGGCAATTTTCCCTTTCAGTCACTTTGGTTATCCCACATTATGTGTATTTATGAGAAACACTTTTCCTCATGCCGAAACATTTTTCTACTTTGTTTTATTCTAGGTACAGCATAAAGGACTCCAACCAAAGTGTCAATCAGTTTGCTTTCACCATATCTTCTTTTTGTGTGTGGGGGGGAAGTTGGGTTTGTTTGTGCATGAAAGCCACCACCGTTTGATGATAATCTCTGGGAGCTGAAGCAGCAGGAGTAGAGGAGGCTTAACAAGAAAACTGATTATTTATTGTTTCTTACTCCTATTTGCAGTTTGGGTTGTATAATATTTTCTGAGTATACCCATTGTTTTGTTTTTCATCTAGACCAATGTGTCCACTCCTGATTCTCACCATTGTCATTTTAGAGAGACCTCCATTGTTTCCTTAGCCATGTTCTCTTTAGATTGTCTCTAACCTCTTACTGCCAGAAGAGAACTAAGTTCACAGTGCGGTTGGCTCTCACGCCTTTTCTGGCCTCTTAAGATACCAGTCTATGAGACTGTAGCTGTGAAAATCTAATCTCTCTTTGTGTTGTTCCCCCCCCCTCCCCTCCCCAGGTGTGTATACATTTCTTTCCAGCACCTTGAAATCTTTGGAAGAGAAGGAGCATATTCATCGTGTTCTGGACAAAATCACAGATACATTGATTCATTTAATGGCCAAGTCAGGTCTCTCTCCAGATCAGCAACACAGACGACTGGCTCAGCTCCTCCTCATACTCTCGCACATCAGGCACATGAGGTGAGAGAGTGCACATGCAGCCTTCTTCCATTGTACAAGGCAACTATGGAAAGTTCAGCATTCAGGGAAGGTTTTGCTCTGTTGATAGAGCCAGATTCTGATAAACTCATGTTGAATAGTAACTTACTCCACAAGTGGTCTTTTCCTTCAGAGACTACTTGTGGGGCAACATGCTAGTCAGTGTGAATGAGGGTGTCACAGTGTGGCCCATAATTCCGAAATACAAACAGCCCTTCTGCTTAATATCATGTGGGAGGGGAAACTGTCCCTAACACTACTTGTTTCTTGTGCTCTTTATGGTTCCTCTGCTTCTGGTGTCACTATACTGCAAATGGGTCTGATGGTGGAGGCAGGACCAGATTGTTGTTGTGTTATACACAATGTCTTACTCTGTTTATAACATACCGAGTAAATTGCAACAATATATAACACCCCAGTTCTGCAACCCCTACTCACATTGATAGGGACCGGCAATATCGAAGTAGGGGATTCAGACTCTATCTCCATGATTTTTAATAATAATTAACAGTTAGAGGTGATGTGTTTGAAGAATTTAATTTACTCTTAGTCTTAGCAAAAAGTCTATAAGATAAGAATGGCCCTACTGGGTCAGACTGAAAGGTCCATCTATCCCAGTATCCTGTCTTCCGACAGTGGCCAGTGGCAGGTGCCCCAGAGGGAATGAACAGAACAGGTAATCATCAAGTGATCCATCCCCTGTCACTTATTCCCAGCTTCTGGCAAACAGAGGCGAGGGACACAACCCTGATCAATTCAATTATTCAGTTCTTGAAGTGAAATTGAGCTCCTATACCTTATAGCTGAAGTGTTAGAAATCTGACAGTTCTAAACAGTTCTAAACTGTTTATTTTTAAGGTGCCAAAGCACACTGATTGGTTGGTGAATGGAGTTAGGGTTCCTTGATCCCACTACATAAGTGGCATTTAAAATAGTGGCAAGCGTCACTAAAGTTACAAATGTGGGTGGTGAAAGGGTTAATAACACTCCCTAATTTTTTTTTCCTCCCAGAACTGATCTAAACGTTCAGGCAAAAGCCATAGTAGTGGTTTTGTTTTGTTTTTTTGTTTTTGTTTGTTCTTTTTACTTTTGTAAACTTTAAGTTATTTTTCTTGTTATGGTAAGTCTGACAATCATTGATTTGGTAGTTATGAGCTGGATACACGATTAGCATTAAAAGCCAACACTTTGTGGGGGGAAACTGTGATATCTTAGGTATCATTGTGTGGTAACTGTTGCCAGATGGTGGCTTTTTACTGGCAATCACTATAAATATTATGGAGTGTCCTCTGACTTTGTTTTCATTGCAATCCACAGCAATAAAGGGATGGAGCACCTATACAACATGAAGTGCAAAAACGTAGTCCCGCTTTATGATTTATTGCTGGAAATGTTAGATGCTCACCGATTGCATGCCCCAGCAGCCAAAAATCCTCCCCAGATGGAAGAAGAGAATCGGAGCCAGTTGACAACTGCATCAACTTCATCACATTCCTTGCAGACCTTTTATGTAAACAGGGAAGATGAGAATTTGCAAAATACAGTATGAGCGTTCACATGTTAAAAAAGCCTACAAGGTTCTGAGAATCCCAACAGCATACTACCTAGTTCATACATCACTTTAGCTAAATTGCCACACGTGTAAACACTCCAATAGGCACCAGTGATTTCCAGTCTGAGTGTTCATTGATCACTTGCTAAAATCCTTAATGGAAGAGGTTTTGTTATTATGGATGGCCTACAAGGATGGGAGGCCAACTTAATTTGAAATGGCTCTTATTTACCCCATGCATTAATTAGGGTGAGGATTCCTGGAGTCTTTATCAGCCCAAGATTTTGGGCTTTGTTGACTGTTTGCTGGGAATCATTTGAGCCTGGGCCCAAGCTGAGTTTGAGTAATTGATGTTTCCACTGAAAGGTTGAGTGGCTCCAGGATGAGGAAGCCCCACTAAAGACTGCCTAGTTACATAGCTCAGTTCTTGGTAGATTCCAGCCTGTCATATTCGTACCATGACAAAGTGTTCCTTTCCGAAAGTAATGTTTTAAAATTTCCCTTCCTTGCTGACATCAGCAGATGTTTCCCCCTTCATGAATACATAGAATTTATATCCAGTTGTGGTTATATCATCCAATGGCCATACTGGATTGAATGCACTTAATCTTCTTATCTCAGTCCTGGGGTGGGTAGTACTTTGATGGGAAGCCAGCTGGGAAACGTGTGCCTTTCTGTGGATGTATGCCATTGCCTTTAATATTAATAAGTGTTGTCAAACTCTATTCAACTCACCCATCCATTTATTTTGAGGAAGCTTTATGGCTTGTGTTATACAGGAGGTCAGACTAGATGATCACAATGGTCCCTTTGGGCCTTGGAATCATGAATGTATGTAGTTCCCACTGACACTAATAAGAGTTTAAACCACTTATGAAGGGCATCTAATAAAGGGGAAGAGAAACTCTAATCTTTCCTCTACTGGGTACCATTAAAAATTAGGCATTTACCACCCTTTCTAGTATCTCACATTCTAATTAAAGAGAATACTGCAAACATTGCAATAAATGATCATTTCTAATGGTCCCCACTGCAACAAAAGTAGAACTCCTTGTATGCTGATAAACAACTCGTGGTAGGGAAGAACAGACATAGAGAGGGACAGTACAAGTTTACGCTGCAAGGCCTAATATACCCTCAGGCATGTGCATCTTGACTTCAGTGGGAGTTGGCGGGGGCGGGGGGGAGGAGGGAGGATGTATATATCAGAACACAGACTTTAATTCTAAATCTGCAGGTAACTACTAGCTGCATGTGTTGTATTTTTTCAGAATCCCTCGGAAGCTGGTGAGCTCTCAACTTGTGAAGCGCTTTCATCTCATCTTAATTTAACAACCCTCTTGCTAATGCATATCACTAGTTTCGTTTCCAGTAGCCTCATTTTTTTGTAAATATGATAAAGCACTTGTCTTTGTGCTTATGCAGAGAAAGCATTGGTATTTCTTTGCAATTCATTACCCAAAGGCCATTGGGGGCTCCTAAGTGCCTTTTCCAAAATGTACACATTTGTATTTTCATTTTGTAGCAATTTTTTCGTGTTGAGAAAATCTTGGTGTACTGTATATTATTGACATAAATAAGCAGAGGTGAAGATCTGAATGGGCCACAGGAATCTTGTACCTAAGTTTAAAAGACAAATGTCACCCAATTGTAGCCCAGAGTTGCCCATCAAATATAGTGTGTTAACAACTTCCATGTTCTTTATAATAAACTAGACAGAGCTCCTCTAAACTTCACATTATTTAAATTAATGGCTCCTTCCTTGGTTCTCCCAACAAATAAGCACACTGGGTCAAATTAATCCTTGGATGAATTTAAATAAATGAATTTGGGCCATGGTTTCTGATACTTTAGCCATGGTGAGTAGCATCCTCAGCTGCAAATTGTCCCACTGAAGTCAATGAGCCTGCATATGGGATAAAGTGCTACCCAACATAAGGAAGGGTATCAAAACATGGCCCAGACTATTAAAAATAATTTGACAAATAGGGGTGCACACCAGCAACTTGGGATTCTTTGTTAGCCTTGTCCTTTGCAATAAGACCTCATTTAGTTCAAATGTATATTGTAACAAAAGCAGTGGGAGCCCAAGAGAGAAAAATGATTTCCCACAATACATACTTTTAACTTGGAGGCAATGTCTGTGATCGACATCATTAACTTGTTTAAAACTTAATTTTGTCTTTAAATAGCACCTTAAATAATGTGTTATATAAAAGATGCATTGCTCACATATCAGACAATTGAATGTAGCCATTCAGTAAACCCAGTTGACAAAGTCTATAATACATAAAACAAAATATGTTTTCATATGCTTTTGAGGTACCATATCACATATGTAGTTATTTGTGCCTGAGGCTAACTAATTGTTAGCTTATATGATGATTATATTTCATATATACTTTTATATTTGCAGTAGATAAGCCAGCACTAACTGAGACACCTAGTGCTGGATATGAAAAAGAAAAATAATATCCTGTAGAGACTACATTTGAGAAGGAAAAATATTCAGGGAAGCTAATTATACTTTTACCAAACAATAATAGAGCAGATGAACTTGCTTTGCATAGCAAACCTGTTGCCATTCAAATAACAATCATTTTAAGAAGTTCAGGGCACATGTGAAAGTAGTAATGTGAACTTGCTCATCTGATGATGTCTGGGTTTCCAACAGAGTATGAAAGCCACTTCTTGTTTGTAGTGGACTTGATCTTGCAGACTTTGTCTCAGGTAAAACTCCTATGAAAGACAACAGGAGTTGTTCTGAAGTAAAAATCAAACAAACAAAAGCATGAGCAATTTCTTGGTGTTTGTGGTGGCTTTCCTGATTTTTCCTTCTTGTACATTTAAGAGATTGGTAGATTAGAAAATGTGTCACTAAGGAAGAAAGAACGAATAGCTTACATTTCTATTGATAATGCCAGGTCAGTATGTTTTGCAGTGGAAGCGGTAGGTCTCATACTGGAGTCATGATCTATTTCAGTAAGTGATTACCGGTATTTTAATTCTTAAAGAGCTGTGCCAAAAATGAAACCAAACATCTAAGAATTAGAACTGTTTCCACCAAAAATCCTGCCCCACTGAAGTCAATCTAACCACAGACTTAAATGGGAACAAGATGAGTCCCTGTTTGTGTGTGTGTGTGTGTGTGTGTGTGTGTGTGTGTGTGTGTGTGTGTGT